TATTATATAAAATATTATATATTATATAAAATATTATATATTATATAAAATAATATATAAATATATAACGTAAAAAGCCATGTTATTTTTTGCTAAATAATAAGTTAACAGATGGCGCCTCATACAAGTGGCTCGTAAATCTTCATCCTGTCCTGTTTGTTTGAAATTCCACATCGAATTACAATTGGGCCTGTACAACGATCGGGCCCAGTTTGAGGACAATCTGGCCTAAATTGAAAGTGGGCGCGATCGTCCTGAAAAGTAACATATATATTTTCATTATCTCCAGTTTGTTTTAAATTTCACAACTGTACTGCAAATTTGAGCAACCCATTATCTTAAACTCAAGGCAGATTATTTGGTGCTACAGGGATTTTACATTTACTAAGGCAATCTGAAGACATAGTTACAGAAACGCATTTTACGAACTTGAGAATTCTGGTACAGTAGGCTATTCTAAATATTATGTTTTATCTCTCTATGATATTCCTCCCTTCCTTAACTAGAATTGTATTTTCGATTTCTACAAAAACTACTCAATAATAAATGAAAAGGAACATTAATAGAGTATTATTATTGTTGCTCAAATTCAACATCATTGTTGATATTGTACATTATATAGAGGGCGACCTTTCATTTCCAGCTACTTCTTGAATGTAGGCATTTATATAAAAACGTATGAATAGTGGCTGTTGTTAGGCCAACAATTTTATTCTTCTCTGTATTGCATACCTCGAACTGATTTCTAACTAAAGAAACATTCAAAAGTGCCTAACCACTAAGTGTGTTTAAAGACAAAAAACAGATTAGGAATATGACAAATGAATATATTATTATTACTATTGTATTACTATATAGATTTGCTATTCAGAGCAGTATATGCTACGGTTTGTCTAAACTAAAGAAAAATTACAATACGAAGGAAGTATTGCACAATACGATGCCCTGTGTCTCGGGCTATCGATAGAAAAAAATATAATTGTTTATAGTATTAATACAGTAACAAATGAATTTCCGCTGTGTCTGTGTATAATGTTTAAAGTACCTCTTAAACCATCGTCACCAGCCAATGCTTGTGTTTAGTAACAAACTTTTCGCTAGCGAGCTCATACATCGCTTTCTTACTAAAAACTTAATTACCTTTGTACTTATGCATTATTTTTCTTAAGCAGTCCTTACAAATAAACATTATTGGTATAGGCCTATGTATCTTTTACATTATT